ATGGGAGATAAAACTCGCTTGAGGTGAATATCGTTCATTATTTGTAATAGAAACGTTGCTGATGGGAGCAATAATGTAAGTGCCAACTTAATTTTAAGAGCGATCTCTCAATTTTACTTTTTATTCTAAGCAAATACACTTCAAAAGTTGTTTTTTTCTAGGCAAGCTGTATGCTTCGTTGCTTTCATGTTTGGATGTCTTTTTACACCTTCGCTGTTACCTCTACTCTCCGCCAAATGGGCACTTTTTCTTAGTTCCCTCTGCTGGACAGCCTATCATGCTAGTTTCTTCTATTTGAATAGTTATTTATATTACTTCTCCTGTACCCTGATTGGATTTGGGTTTGCGTGTAAGTTGTTAAGAAAATCTTGAATATTGGCATTTTTACGAATTTCAACGATGAGATTTTAGTGTTTTTCACTGGCTATGGCGCATATTTGACAGCGCATTCAACGAGAAAAACAATAGAACAGAATTCGGCAATAATGTGGTCTGTAGGAAATTTGTGGTAAGTATCATAGAGTTCTGATTGTCCTAATAAATACTATAAAGTGCCAGTGCGCATCGGACTGTTGATATGCAATTCTCTCATCATTTCCAGCTTATTCTTCTCTTCTGCTTTGTTACTACTTATCCTCTATTTCAACGAGTCAGCAAAAAAGACAACGGACAATGTCACAAACTCCACTCTGAATGGCGTGGAATCTGCAAAATCGCGCGAATTTACCGACAGCGATATTAGGCTGATGTATGGGGTATTCATGGTTGTTACTATCTGCTCAAATATTATTTTTGCGCTGATGCCATCCAAAGATCTTCAAAACTGCATCGAGGGAGGAAAGCCGAAAAGAGTGATGTCTTTTGCAGCGGAAATGAGTGAGTTCAATTCAATGAAGATATTCAATAACATAATAATAGTAGGTATATAATAACTAAATCTTCTATAACTGTCTACTTTACAGAAGTCATGTTCTCTTCCTTTGTGAATTTGAACATTTTGCTTCTCTCACCCTTATTCTTTCATATTGGAATTGTGACAGCATTTTGGATAGCTGTCTATCCAACGACTTTCCTCTTCACGG